TAGACGGCGGCTTCTTTGTAAAACCAGACACATGGGCTGTCTTTGGAAAAAAAAAAAAAATAATAATAATAATAAAATAACAAGGATAAGAAAAAACAACCAAATAAAAAGGTTAAAACCCCATTTTGAACCCTAAACTATTATACGGATCTCGAATTTGGTCCCTGAACTAAAAAAATCCCTAATTTGACCTCTACTGTTTACCATATTGACCCCAATTTGGTTCTTCCATTAAAATCTCACCATTACCTCACGATAATTTAATGACATGTCAAACATTTGAAACACGTCATGTCACGCCCCAAAACCCAAATCCGGGAACGTGACAGACGCCGTGCACTCGTAAGATGGGTCCCACAAGTGCACAAGGCTCGGAACTTATTCAAATCACAATCTGATACCACAAAATCTCAAGATAAAATTTTATAATTTACTCTAATATCATAGATCTCCAATAAAATCGAGTTTACAATATCACGATTTATTTCTAAAATCTATGTCAATCTCGAAATGGCTAGCCTTCTAACTCGTCACTCCCCTCGATTTCCCCGTCCTCGGTTTCGCTTCCTGAAATGGTGGACAAGGAAAACTATGAGATAACTCAGTAAGTAAATATGGATAGCCCTTAGGTAAAACTTTTAGCATGCCAGATAAACCATGTAAGTATAACAAAACTTTCACTGATAAACCGTTAATGCGGAAATCAAATTCGGTTTGATAGCAAAACGTTCAATGACAAAACCGTCAATGCAAAAATCAGATTCAGTTCAATAACAATGTTTCATGACAAACCGTTCATGCAGAATAAAACTCATCAGTAGTCTCATCTATAAGTCATGGCCAGTGTTTAACAACTCCCACTGGCAGGCATCAGTAATGGTACCAGTGTTTACAAACTTCCATTGACAGGCGTCAGTAATATTACCAATGTTTAACCCCATTGGTAGGGTTTCAGAAGTACCAGTGTTTACAAACTCCTGGTAGGCGTTAGTAATAGTACCAGTGTTTAACCCCATTGGTAGGGTGAACCGATTCCACAGAAATACATGTCGACATGTGCTAGCGTTTACCGCTCCCACTAGCGGGCGTCAGTAATCATGACTATATCCGAGACAAAACCATACAGAGTTTACAGAAAAACCCGAATTTCACAATCAATCCCGAATTTCAGAACAAACCGAAAAATTTCCATGCGGACATGGATTTAACAGAAAACTCAACATTTACAAAATTCTCAGTTTATCAAAGCAATTCAGTCAATTCCCAAATAGGCATGCTCTATTCAGAAAAACAATGAAATTCTCATTTTCATTTCTCAATCATGCTCATTTCCAGAAAATCAATAAAATCCTCATTTTCATTCCAATCATGCTCAATT